AAGTGATGGCAAATTCTGTAAGAATCTGTATTCAGTGAACATCCAATTACCACAGATGATTGACATAGTAGGCTATTGGGAAAACATTTCTGCCTTGTGCTTGCAAAAGGTCTTCAAAAATAACAGGGCAAATAGTTCCAGGTCTCTGTGACCTAAAAAGTCTAACGAAGCCAAAGAATTACTAGAGCATCTTAGAGAAACCCGAGGCCATTCAGCCTAATGATTTAGTGATGATGTCTTTGTTTTTAGGTCAGAGAATAATGTGGCTTCTAGCTTAATATTTATTCAGCAACACTCACTAATCTTGGTAGCACTCGCTGTGAGCCTTCTTCTGTGTCCTGAATATTCTAGGGCAAGAACAGACTCTTCTGTTTAAATAATTCTAAAAATCGAAGTGTTTTGTAATGTCTTCAACTTCTAGGAAATGATAAAGTCCAAATATAATAATAAAGTAAAAGAGTGTTGAAAACTCAGTGACTGAAAAGCAGACGTCACATTGACAATTAGACTGATAGCACAGGAAATAGCAAATAGGTTTCTTTTTTGTAGTTCAGATTTAAAAAATCTATAAATGGCAAAATATGGTCATATAAGAGGAGAGATACAGGAGAGAGAGAAGAAGGGAGGGAGGGGAGGAGAGGGAGAGAGCCCAAACTTAAAGTTTACATTTTATAATATAGACCACCACAGATTATCATAATTAACCCTATACTTCCCTCTGGTGGTCAAATTTGAAAATGTATTTACAGATGAATTAAATGAAAGATTAATAAGCAGTAATAACTAAAGGTAAGACAACCAGATACCTCATTTTGTGTGAAGATTCCATTTTAACCAACTACCTCACTCCAACATTTCCCCTACTTATTAAAGTTGAATGACTCTTCTGTGGAGAGGTCCCAATTCTCATAAACTTTCCTAACCTATGGCAGGGACTATACATAGCAAGTTGTATTGCATGGCACTAATTATATACTTAGGATGTGGATATTCATTTATGCTATAATTTATGTAAAAATAATAGGAAAGAATATTTTCCTGGATTTCTTAAACTACTTAAATTTTAAGAAAGTAGTCTATGAATTATTTCATGCTGTATTGTGTCATGCACATTAAAATAAAAATTTTAGGAACATAGAGACATACATTATTATCAGAATATCAGATTTTAGAATCTTAACCCAGCAACCAAACCGGGTGTTTTTGGGTGGTTACTGTTTGTGAATGTCAGATACATCTTACAGGTACTGATTTTTTTTTTTTTTCCTTAAGGGAGCAATGTATACTTAATTACAGCTTTAATAAATTTAATATTTTAAATTTCAAAATTACTTAGAATATTGATTTTTCTATTTAGAGAAAAACTAAAGCCTACACCGACATGTTTTTTGTGGCTGTTTAGTTTTAATGTCATCCCTGATAATTTCATATGGGAGCCAATACAATTTATTTTTGTGAATGTACTCCTTGAGCCTCAAAGAAAAAAAGAAAAATGTCACTAATTTTATTTGGCTCCTCTTTTTATTCTAACCATAAAATATTCTTTTAACTGAGTAAGATGTGACAGGAATTACAAGTTTTACTTTTGTTCTTTTTGACAACTGAAGAGTATTTAAAAGGGTTTCCCATTACACTTTTAAAGTTTTATCCACTGTATTAATTGGATGTGAGCTATTATGAAAATGATTACAGAGTGGAAGTGTAAATTGTCTTGAATTTGAATGTCTTTTAATTAAGCAGTTTCTCAAACTACTTTTTTCAGTGTGAAACCTAAATAGGAGACACAAGATAATTTTAGAACCAAATGAGGCCTTTAGGATTTAGCTTACTTTCATTTATTCAGTAAATACTCATTGTACTTATTTTGCAAAAATGTTATTTTGGCTACCTAAATCAGTGAAGGGAAACTACAAAGGTAAATCAGAAATGTACTGTGAGATCAAGAAGCCTATAGCTCTGAGGAGAGATAAACGTGTTTAAAATAACAAGAGTGTGAAGTGGAGAAATGGGCTAGTATTGTAGGAGATAGACAAGAAGTGGAGAAGCTTACTCAAGGAAATGACATCATAAGCTGAATGTAGGCTCCTTTTGAGGGGTAGCGTAGAGCACTGTCTCCGTAGTTCTCTCTCTATCCCCCATGCCTCACACATGGTTGACATTTCATGAATATTAAATGATTAGAGGAGAAAATCCTGACTGATTTTGTCACATACTTGCAGCATGGCTAAAAATAAGGCACTGCAATTTCTTGAGGCTCAGTTCCTTTACCTACAAAATAATATGGATTTAAAAATGAATATCAAATGCATTTACACATGTGAAATACTTAACTTGAACACCTTTATAACACAGGTGATACTGTTGAATTAAGGTAAGTGTATGTGGATTTTACCAGTCCATATGTGAGTAGGGAACTCACACAAAAAAAGTGTGGACCTACTTTGAGAGTTACATGTTAAAATGAGACTTTTCTTATTTTATCAGTTTTGGGGGTTTCAAGTTAAAGGACTGTAAGTGCCCACACTTAGGATTTCAAAAAAGAGAGTGCCAGACTACCTTATCAGTTAGCAAAGGGGTGACTCTAGTCAATGTCTGGTGGGCCCCATCCCATTATGTACTTCAGGAGTGGGATACAAATATATAAGGTGAACCTTGAAGCAACTTGGGATACTATTAAATTATACCACTAGAATGTGTCCATAGTAACAACGTTTTATGTTTGCATAAATTTAGAATCCTTTAGTTGAAAACAACCATTTTACAAATATGAGGAAGTTAAATTTACCTCACAAAGTGATGTTACCTACCAAGGACAGGAGGATCATCGAATTTTTTTGGCTCTCAGATCAGTAATCTCATTATCATATCCAATCCATCTCTATTTGCAAATTTCTAAGACTCTAAGATTTCTAAGACTTTTAAGACTCTAAGAGTGGGAATAATATGAGAAAACACCAAGTTTGTTTCTTTGTAGAAATCCAGAACAAAAGTTGTATTCCTTCTAACGTGCCCAAAGAAGAGGAAAAAGAGGGGTAGGGATGAGATAAATAAGTGATATGTGGAGTTTGAAACTTTCTAAGTTTCTATAAGATGTAAAAATATTACATTTACATTGAAAATTGTTATTAAAAAAGTCATGTAACTCTGTATTTCCATTGCTAGTGCAACAAATTATCACAAATTTAGTGGCTTAAAACAACACAAATTTTGTTTCTTATAGTTCTGTAGGTTAGGAGTCTGACATGGGCTAACACCAAGGGACTAGCAAGGCTGTGCCTTTCTGGAGGCTGCAGGGGTAAGTCTATTTCCTTGTCTTTTCCATCTTCTAGAAGCTGCCCACATTTCTTGGCCTATGGTCCCTTCCCTCATCTTGAAAGTCAACAATGCATGGGTTTAGTCCTTCTCATATGACATCACTCTGACCTCCGCTTCCATCATCATATCTCCTCGACTCTGATTCTTCTCTTCCACTTTCAAGAACCCTTGAGATTACACTGTGACCACCTGGATAATCCAGGGTCTTCCCATCTCAAGGTCCTTATTGACACATGCAAGTCCCTTTTGCCAAGTGAGGTAAACCTTTCTCTTTGTGTATGTGATGAATACATTATATAATATAAATATAACATTTTATATATATATATATATATACTGGTCTATTTTATCATTTACTACCATAAAATTTACATAAATCTATTATAAAATCTCTTGTTGCTATTGTGGTGAGCTCTAGTGTTGCGACTATCCACTTAAAGCACCATGTGATGCTAATCATCTTCAGGTGAGCCGACCATCTCTCTGGTCAATTGCCTCTGGTGGTTATGATCTCTTGCAGTTCTTGTATATTTTTCATCATTTTTATTGTGATAAAATTAAACCTTGTAAACCTTGGATAACACCATGGGACCCATACGGAGCTCGACTAGTGATGCTGGAAGTGCTCCCAAGAAGCAGAGAAAAGTCATGACATTATTAGAAAAAGTTGAATTGCTTGTGGTCTACAGATGCCGTTGCCCAACATTTCAGAAGGTTCTTCTTGTAATCAGATGATGCAAACTTACAGTACTGAAAAATATAGTACAGTACTGTAAATGTACTTTTTCCTCCCTATAATTTTCTTAACAATATTTTCTTTTCTCTAGATTACTCTACTGTAAAAATATAGTATGTAATACATATAACATACAAAACGTGCTGTTTATGTTACAGGTAAGTTTTCTGGTCAACAGTAGACTATTAGTAGCTAAATTCCTTTTTTTTAAACATAAATATGTATTTATAGAAAATATTTATTACTTTGGTTACTAAAAATTTACCTAAATGTTATCATGCTATGCACATGGTTCTACAACTTACCTTTTTGTGATCAATGTGTTTTTTAGCTCTATCAATACTGAGACATATAAGTTTAGTAGTTAGTAATTCTGAATATAAATAAATCAGTATAATAGGAATAAAAAGAGATTTGGTAGCTCAGGGAGATGCTGTACTATTAATCCTTTAAAATTTATTAGGATTTTCTGTTCCTATGGTAGAAAATTCCCATAATCTGATACCAGCCTTTTTGGCTGCTACTTCTACTGAATGTAGTGCCATCTCTGTACACAAGATGGCAGGATCTGTTTAGTACAGATGGGGTTGCCATTTGACAGAAAGCCATGCCAGAAAAAGGTAAAATAAACACTAGAATTTAGCCATACTAGATTAGGAAAAATAAAACCTGAAAACCTCAAGGGAGTTAGGCATTCACTTTGTAAGGTGAGCAAACAATTGCTCATTTAGACTAACCTCTAAATAATAAGTGGCTTTTTTGGTACCATGTTGAAAAAGCTTGTCTGGTACCAGAAACTATATACAGGTAATATGATTGATTTTTTATTTTTCTTCTGCAACTGCTTTACTTCACATTTAAAAGTTTACATATGAATTGGAAATCCCAACTAAAGAATAAATAAAAGTTATCCAATGTAAAATTTGAAAATATATTTAAATGAGAACAATAGCTTTTGTATCACAATTTATTCAGTTTATCAGCATAATTTAATGACATTTCAGATTAAAATTGAAATGAGTATAAGAAGTTATAATCAAATATTTATTTGGATTAGCAAGTCAATAAACAAACATAAGCTCTATCACTTTTAAGTAGTATTCATTTACAGGAGTAATAATTGTTTGGATGGGAAGGTGGTGAGCTCAGTAGCTCTTAAGTGGTGTTCTACAATCTACAAAAACTTTTTTTCCCCTTCAAACAACACATAATAAAAGCTAACAATTACATAGTGTTTGCGAAGTATCAGATACTCATCAACATACTTTACAGATTTTAACTAACTTTAACAACACAATAACCATGTGAGGTAGATGCTATCATAAAGTTGATTTTGTAAATGAGGGGCCTGACACAGAAGGCTTAGGAACTTGTCCAAAGTCACACAAATAAAATGAAGCAGAGGTGGGATTTAACCCATGCACACTGACTGCAGGGTATACACACAAATAGAATGCTGTTTTGTTTCTCCTGCATAGCAAAGTAATAAACAGTACTATCAGGTGGGAATGGGTAAAATTTACATTTGAATAGGGGTTATGTTATTTCAAAGTTTTGGAAATAATTGCAGCAAACATTGTACTAGCAGTTCTGTTTCAGTTTTCTTTTTTCTTACAAATTTAAATTAAATTTATTTTTCAGAGATGGGACCTTGCTATGTTGCCCAGGCTGGCAGATTTGCACTCTTGGGCTAAGTGACCCTCCTGCTTCAGCCTCCCCAGTAGCTGGGATTATAGGCATGTGCCACCCTGTCTGGCTTAATTTCAGTTTTCTTAAAAAACAAACAAACAAACAAAGAATACTAGCATGCCTGTCATTTTATTTTGCCTACTGGAAACCACCAGTTAAAACAAGAAGAAAACAGGAAAACCTCCAGTTAAGAGGGTTTTAGAAAAGTGTATTTCAGAAAAAAAATAATTGTACATTCAAAAGAGTGGTTAGTTCCTTTAAATTGTTACTGATAACCCAGAATCTCATTTTAGCAACATATCTGTGTGTATTTATGTACGTGCATATACTTGTGTATGTATGTATTATGTTATGCACATATTCTCAATGATGAAAAATTTCTGTTCTCTGAGAATAGACTTTATCTGGCGATAATCAAAAGCATTATGAGCTAAAATGGGTAGATGATGTAGAATTGGGCAATATTAACTTGAAATAAACGTAAGTTTTGGGTAAAAATAATAAAATGGCCTTTTTAACATTTAGTTACCAACTATGCATTTACTTTATGAAACAAAGGATCCAAATATCTATGGAATCTAATTCTATTAGAAGGTAAGGCTCTCCCTCCTTGCCCAAGGTATTTCTGCCTCACTTCACTGGGATAATAGGTGAGAAATTTGGGCTGTAACTTCTTTGCATATGGACTCTATACTGTGTTCTAGATTATGCAACATGAGATACATATTGTGGTAAAATGAGCATCCTCACATGTAATGCTATAATAATGTAGACATTTTAGTCACCCAGTAAAGTACTACTTTCATAAACAGTTCATTAGAAGAAATTTTCATTTTTATACTTGAATGAAACTCAATCTTCCTTCATTCTCACATTTTTGGGGGAAAAAAGCATTTACCCACTCCAACAGTGGCTGAGATCCATTTGCTGTATGAAAATGCACTCTTCTCTCAGCATAATCTCTCTGCTGTCCCATAGACAGATTCGCTTAACCACTGCTGCCATCTGCTGGTCTTGTCATTGTTAGATTTTAGAAAAAGCAGTGCATAAGGCTCCAGTCAAGATGATGCAAAATGCAAGTATCATTAATAGGTAGTTTTGTAGACCCTGAATAAGAAAAAAACAGTAACAGTGATGAATAAAGCCTGAATCAACTATACAAAATGGACAGACTCTCAAGATTGCTAGGGACCTGACTAACCATCTGCTCTAGCCACCTGTATGCTTTTTTGCTACCCCTTCCAAGTAATCAGATTCTTACAAAACTCTGCAGAGCCTTATGAATTCACCCATTCGGTAAATAAATGTGGGCACCCACTAAGCTTCAACATGTACCTTTATGCAGCCGATCATATAATATGGGAGACAGGAAGTAATCACAGAAAAGAATGTTATTATGTGACAGGGGTGTTAATAATAAAGCAAACCACCATAGTTGTTTGAGAGTGAGTTGCAGGAATCTTAATGATGCTGGTTTGGAGGGTGGGAAGTGGAGCTTCTAACTACAAGTATCAGTGAATTGGCCAGCGGAATACGGCAGCGAGTAGAGATTCCAGGTAGAAGGAATTTTATGTGCATAGTCCTGTTGTAAGAAAAAGCAAAATATTTCCCAGGGACTGAAGGGAGGTCAGTGTGACTGGAGTAATGAAAGTTAAGTGGAGCACGATAAGGTTGGAAGACCATGGACCTGAGCACTTGTTATGCTTTGGGTCTTTTGGCTCCTTTTTTTTTTTTTTTTTGAGACGGAGTCTCGTTCCATTGCCCAGGCTGGAGTTCAGTGGCACGATCTTGGCTCATTTCAACCTCTGCCTCCTGGGTTCAGGTGATTCTCCTGTCTCAGCCTCCCAAGTAGCTGGGATTACAGGCATGTACCACCACGCCCAGCGAATTTTTGTATTTTTAGTGGCAGGGTTTTACCATGTTGGCCAGGCTGGTATTGAACTCCTGACCTCAAGTGATCTGCCCACCGCTGCCTCTCAAATTTGGGTCCTGCTTTTTCCAAACAAAGAGGAAGACATTAAAAAAACAAGCAGCTGGCTGTGTTAAAATTTCAGACTTGCACTGTGTAAACCTCACACTTTTCTGCAGGATGGCAGACAGATTGGAGGGGCCAGAATGGATGCAAGGAGACCAATTAGGAGGTGACTGTAGTCTTCCAGGGAAAAGATGATGAAGGGAAGATGGAGAGGTGGAGATGGATCTCAAGGGTGAGGAAGAAATGCAGAGAGGGTGTGAAGAATGACTTAGTTGGACTTGCCCAGTTATGTATGGGGTCACTGTTCTTAAAGATGGGAACCACTTCCCTGTGTTGCCCAGCCCAACTTTGAATTAACAAAGAAATATCTTCCTGTGTTAAGTAGAAATATTTCATTTCCTATAGGTTCCACCACTAGGAGTACAGATAGATCGATTTTAATATCTCTCCCACAAGATAAATCCTCAATCATTGAAAGATAACTCTTGTATATCCCCAGAGGCATCTCTTTTCCTGGTCAATATTTTAGCTCTTTGACCATTTTTCCTATGGAATGGTTTCAAGCTTCCTTACTGTCCTGGCTGCTCCCCTCTGAATGACTGCCATTTTATCTATATCCTTCTTTATGTTTAAAGACTCCAATTTATTTTTTTTTTTTTTAGTGAAAGTACAGAGACTTGTTGCAAAGTGAAAAGTACACACTTGAGAAAGGGGAACACGGACATACTCAAGAGAGAATCATACAAGGGGGTTGTGGTTCCTATTTTCATGATTTCTTTAACCGACGGGTGGAATATTCATGAAGATTCCTGGATAAAGGTAACAATTTCTCAGAACTGTGGTGTCACTAATTTTTACAGCAAATATGGGTGTTCCCAGAATTGTCATGGTGCTGGTGGGTGTGTGATTTGTATGTTAATGAGTGTATAATGAGGTCCTAGGTGAAACCTAGGGCAAATCCAGCACCACGTTGGGCTCACTTGGTCTTAGCCAGCTTGATCCATACGCTGTTTTTCAGGGTGTTATCAGCCCATGGCCTCTGCAGCTATTTGAAGTTTCCTTTGGCTGGTCATGTGAAACTGCTGCCTGGAATTTTCCTAATCCGTGACCACCCCGTATTATTTCTGTCTCATCTCCCCGCCACTTAAAGCTTTCCATCCCTTATCCTTAAGGCTTGATGTGGGAGGAAGTCAGTCTTCTGCCTCTACTTCCTGCTGATTAAGGGTACTGGCTCTGCCATTGAGGGCATGGCAATCTCTGGCTGCCTGGTCTAAGGGTCCCAAGCATGAGTCATCAGGAGAGTCTGAATCCAAGGCAGAAGACTCCAGTATTCTAAGGGAAGGTTTGAACATTACAAGGTAAAACAAGACTAGCACCTCTCTAATTTTAGATATATCTAAGATTACAATCAGATAATCTAATTTAATAATACTATTTAATAATAATATTAGATCCTTTTAAGAAGGAAAAATAACAATGGTTTATGGGTAAGTCATTGTAGAAGACACATAAGGGTTTTGGAAAAAGTCAAAAGGAATGGAGAGGAGGCAACTCTAGGCAGCAGTTGGCATCCTCCCTGCTTCAAATCTGCAAGGAACAGGGTGTGGCCTCCCTCTCTGGTGAAAATTCTGGCCACTGGGGTCCGACAGGTTAACAGCCTCACACTACCCAAATTTGGGCAAAACTTCAGGAAAGGTAGTGGGAATAGAATGCTGTGTCTTTGGGGCAAGAGTTGACCGACTTGTTGGGGGGAGTGGGTTCATAAAAGCAGGACCCTGGGCTCTGTTAGAGGCTAATCCTCAGGGCTAATCTGGATTCATGAGTATCTCTCCTAATGCTCACTCAAGGACTCAGTGAAGAACATGCGCCAAAACTTGGGTTCCTACAGCCAGGCCATGCAAAGTGTAGGCTTAGGGAGACTCATTTCCCCCTGCAGAGATGCAAGGGCTTAGAGGGTGGGGGGTGGTTCTGTCTTTGCTGCCTTGCAGCCAGATCAGCTTTGAGGGAAACCCAGAAAGGGAAGCTCTGAGTGGGCTCCCGCAGGAAACAGGGTTGGGGCAGGATAGACAGACTGACAATAGGAACACATGACTCTCCTGGCTCCACAATGAAATTCTCACTTCAAAGAATGGACTTTTGTCTGGTTTCATTTTGTCTACTTCCCTCACACTTCCTTAAAGGTCTTGTGTTTCTAGTTTACCGGAAGAATGCAGAGATCAGAGGTAAATTTGTATAATAAATCTGAACAGAACAGAAACAAAGTCCAGGATGGAGGGAAAGTGAAAACTGTCAAGGAAAGTTCTCTTGTATTATTAGTTCGTAAGATTAATGCTAACTAATATGTAACATACATATATGTTATATATTAATTAACAAAATTAAATATGTTACTAACTAAATAATATTTTACACGTGTGTGTGTATGTGTGTGTGTGTATATATATATATTCCCTTTCTTCGACTTACAGAATCAGAGTAGATTAATTTGCCTTTGTTTGATGACCAGAGATAGGTCTTCGTAAGTTAGGTTGGGGCCAGTTGAATTGTTTGATTCAGTGTGACCCTTAGCACTAACAGAAGCCACTCAAATCCCAAATTCTACAAGAAGTACCCTAAAACCTTGCCAAGTGCAGAACAGCTTATTTAAACATGCACAGACACAGACACACACACACACACACACACACACACACCTGGCAGTAGGCTTTGGATTTCCCAGCACCTTTTTTTTCTTAGTTTTTAAGACTGCAATTCTCACCTAGATCCTGGTACTAATGCAGAATAGGTATTCCATAAATATTTGTTCAAACAATAAATACACTGAGGTGATTTCCACATATACTTTGTGAATTTGAAATTGATGCAATTACTTAAATTAAAAAAATGGGTCTTCAATTACAAGCACTCTACAATCTAATTATACGAATACATTGCTAAGTGCTATTTTATTACCTATGTAGACAGAAGAATAATGTTCTCAGGGAATGAAAAATTTTTTTCCCCTTCAATGTTAAGATTCTGCCCAAACTGCCCAGTTTCCTCGAGAAAAAGACTGCTTGTAGTCGGGCCACAGCAATGCTTTTCCTTCATCAAAGGTGGATGTTAACTCTTGGAAAGAGCATGCTAACATTCTTCCCAAAGCAGAAAGATTTTCAACTTGGATTTCTGAAGTAGCTACTAAGATAATAGACCCTCTCATTCTTCACTGGGGAGTAGCTTACTGACCTATACATTGTTGTGGTCATAACTACCTATGTTGGCATTACTGTAGACATACTGACTAAAGTGTGTTGGTAAAAATATAATTTATATCTAGCTTAAAGATGTAACAATCTAAAATGAATTTCCCAATGAGTAATGGAGATCAGATATAAAAGAATATCAGGGCCAGGTGCAGCCAACACTGTGAAACCCCGTCTCTACTAAAAATATAAAAATTAGCTGGGTGTGGTGGCGGGCACCTGCAATCCCAGCTACTCGGGAGGCTGAGGCAGGAGAATCGCTTGAATCCAAGAGGTGGAGGTTGCAGTGAGCCGAGATCACGTCACTCCACTCCAGCCTGGGCAACAGAGCAAGACTCCGTCTCAAAAAACAAACAAACAAACAAAAAAACAACAAAAAAGAGTATCAGAAGTATGAAAACATTCAACTGAAGCACTGATGGCATTAAAACTAAATGGAATCATTAAAGTTCTTCACACAAAAGGTGCTTGGCGCTCAGCTTTATTCCTCGCAGCTGTAGGTTGTAGATTCTTAAATATGCATCTTCAAGGACTGCTTTCAGATATATAACTGACAGCACCTATGAGTCCTGCAGATAACAGGTTTGCTTTTGTTTTCTTCTTTAGAGTTTAGGGGTTTTTGTCTTGTTTCTACAAAAATACTTTAAAAATTATTCCTATGAGATTTAGTGTTTAGTTGATGATGCTTGTCTAAACTGATTGGCATGTAAGCATTTACAATTTTTCTTTAAATCAGCTGTCAAGAGGCAATTAGGTGTCTGCAGTGAATGTTAAGTGCCACTAGACATGCTTTAAATTTTGTTTGTAGATGACATATAAGATTTTTTGTTTATTTATTTATTTATTTAGTTAGTTAGTTAGTTATTTTGAGACAGAGTCTAGCCCTGTCGCCCAGGCCAGGGTGCAATCTTGGCTCAGTGCAATCTCCACTTCCCAGGTTCAAGCCATCTTCCCATCTCAGCCTCCCAAACAGCTGGGACTAGAGGCACACACGACCACAGCAGGTTAATTTTTGTATTTTTGTAGAGACAGGGTTTTGCCATATCGCCCAGGCTGGTCTTGAAATCCTGAGCTCAAGTGATCTGGCCACCTCAGCCTCCCAAAAGTGCTGGAACTACAGACATAAGTCACCATGTCTGGCCCCAGGTTTTTTGTTTGTTTGTTTTTGTTTTTTAACTCTGCTTTCATCTTGGCCCTCTCTCTTCTTTTAATACGTGTAATCTTATCTTAGTCATTTTTTAAAATAGAAAAGAGCAAACAGTTATTTCCTTAGGTTTAGAAATCCTTATTTTATAAGAAAACTGGCCTAGCTAATCTAAATTGCACATTTCAGAAATATGGTACATGTGCTGTTGTGGTTTTTTTTTTTTTTTTTTCTTGCCTATTTTTACATAAATAATTGGCCAAACTTTAGAACCTACTCTAAAAAATCTAGACAGAGCTTCACTGGGATTTTACAGGAATTATACTGAAGGTAATTGGAGAGAACTGCCTAATTATAACAGTGAGGTGTTCCATCAGAAATGTGGTGAGTCTCCCATATTTTTTCTGATCTTCTATGTCCTCTAGTAAATGTTTGTAGCAAAGTAAAATACAGTATTTTAAAAATCTGGCACATTACTTGTTAATTCTTTAATTAGATTTATGTAATTTTGTGGTTACTATTAATAGCACTTATTTTCCTCTTTTTAACTGTTTTTTGGTGACAATATTGGAAGGCAATTGATTTCATATTTATTTTATATCTCAAGCCTTACTGAATGATCTTATTGGATCTTAAATTTTTCAGTTGATTCTTTAAAATTTTTATTTTAATTTTTAATTTTTGTCACCAATAAATTGAAATCACAATGCTTACATTTAAAAAAAATGTAATCTGCAAATGATAATCTTCTCATTTCTTTTCCTATATTTATTCATTTCATTTCTTATTCATGTGTTTCCAAACTAGCTAGATCTACAGAAAATATTGTATAATAGTATGGAGAAATCCTTGACTTCCAATATACAGAGAACTCTTACGTTTCATGAAACTCAGGTATATAATTGCTATTTTGTTTTGATAGACATACTGTATAAAAAAACAGCATGGTAACAGGCAGCTATTGCCATTTCCTTTTCAAATGCAAATGATGGGAATTTAAAATTGCATTCATCAAATAGTTCTAGTATAAAAAAACTTCCTTTTATTTCTAGCTTATTAAGAGGTTAGTATAGTATTATCATGTCCTTTTCATATTTGATATGGTAGAGTAAATAAGATTAATTAATTTACATATTATGAACGATCCTTGCATTCCTGAATTAAACCCTATTGGGTCATAGTATATTAATCTTAAAACTTACTTTCCTATTTGATCTGAGGTGTCTTTTTAAAGATGTCTTTACCAAAAACAAAACAAAACTTTCCTCACTGTTTTTCAGTACTCCTTTAAATAAAGGACTGTAAAGAATTAATACTAGACTTTTTGGTTAGGGATTCTCTCTTTGAACAGGGTTCTTATATGTAGTTAACAGGATTTTCAATTCAGTATTATTATTGTAGTCAAGACCAAAATAATTTTCAAATGCTTTAATATAAGTCTGTACTTATATTACAGACTTATAAAATATGTACTTCTTTAGACCTGTAATTACTGATAAACTGTGATCACTAATTTGTGATTTTCTAAGGCTTCAGCATCTTACATGAGATAATAACCGATTCGTTAACGTAAACAAATCATTTTTTGTGAGGTAGATGAAATATGTGTAGAGAGATTTACAACATATTTTGGGCACAGAGTTACTTTTTGTAGAACGAAACTCCAACTACAATAAATGAGAAATGTTCACGAAAGTAACTTACAGGTTTATAAATGTTTCAAGTTGTTCTTAGGTATTTAAAAAAATAAAAATTCTGATCACAGTCCACATATTTTTGAAACAAATTTATTTTTTAAATCTGCGAATGTTAATTGTATTATCAAATAATGGATTTTAAATCAAAATATTTCATTTACAATGATTGAAATGATGTTTTAAATCTAAAATTGAATAATCATTTTAAAGATCAGGTAGAAGTACATTCACTTTATGGTTCTTAGAGATTAGCAACATTAATCTCCTTAGAACCAGGAATTATTTGCTACTACAACTGCATATTAAGACAAGTCTATGATGCCGTGACGGGGGAGAGGTCTTTGGATCAATATTGTCTTTAATAAAAATTCTTAGAAAAGAATAACAGAATTTTATTTGCATATATTCCTCAACTGAAGACTTTTTCTACAAGTAACTGGGAAAAGTTCTAAAGCAATTTTTTAGAAAAAGATTAAACATTTTAAAATATTTAAATTGTTAAGGAGACAGGGTCTCACCATGTTGCCCAGGCTGGATTTGAACTCCTAGGCTCAAGTGATCCTCCTACATAGTTGGACTACAGGTAGATGCCACCATGCCTGGCTAGAAGGGGAGAAGTTCTCTGATTTTGTGTTTTCTTATTATTTCTTTCTTTTTCTTTTTTGAAGAGACAGGGTTTCACTCAGCTGTCCAGATTGCAGTGTAGTGGTATGCTCATGGCTTGCTGCAGCCTTGACCTCCTGAACCCAAGCAATCCTCCCTCCTTAGCCTCCTGAGTGGCTGTGACTACAAGTGTTCATCACCACACCTGGCTAATTTTTAAATCATTTATGTAGAGATAGGGGTTTCGCTATGTTGCCTAGGCTGGTCTCAAACTCCTGGGCTCAAGCAATCCTCCCACAAGTGCTGGGATTACAGGTGTGAGCCACTGCTCCTAAACTGTTTTATTTTTCTATTGACAGTTTGGGCTAGGTTATATGACCCTCACCCCCAAAATTAACTGAGCATTTATTGTGTTCTTGGTAGTGTTCTTAGCAGTTTACTCATATTCTCACAGCTCTCTTGATTGGTTATCCCCATTTTCAGATAAGGACTATATGCACAGAGAGGTTAAGAAGCTTGGCCAAGGTCACACAGCTAGTATGTGACAGAGCCAGGATTTGAACCCAGTTGGACTCCTGAGAATATACCTTTTGTTGTTGTTGTTGTTATTGCCCAGACTGGCCTCAAACTCCTGGGCTCAAGTGATGCTGCTGCCTCAGCCTCCTGAGTAGTTGGGACTATAGATGCATGCCACCATGCTCGGCAAAGTGATTTTTAAAGAACACACACACACACACACACACACACACACACACACACACTCTTTTACTAGAACTATTTGATGAATGCAATTTTAAATTCCCATCATTTGCATTTGAAAAGGAAATGGCAATAGCTGCCTGTTACCATGCTGTTTTCTTACAAAATTGCTGGTTTGACATGGAGGCCTTTGGGAGAGTAGGAACCAACATAAACATCTATTCCCAAGGATGATTTACCTCAGGGGATACTTTAACCTTTAGGATAAAAAAAATTTTCATCTTGTTTATCTACCGTATTTTAAACAAATTTCCCACTCTCATATTTCATTGGGTTATTTAAAATCACTTCAGGGAAATTTAAGTCAACGACAGCATTTTTCCATTGGAGATGGGGTGGAGAGAGACATGATGTTACATTATAATTATCATAGCTCTAGTATTTTCTTTCCTAATTAGGCATTATCACATTCTGAACGTTTTATCTGTCAAATCCATTCACGGGTTGTCTGCCCTGGACCTAGGCACTACAGGCAGTTTTCAGAAAATAATGCAAACATAATATTAAATACTTTACTCACCTGGATGCATTCTCATTTTCTTTTCTTTTTTGAGATGGAGTCTTGCTCTGTTGCCCAGACTGGAGTGCAGTGGTGCAATCTTGGCTCACTGCAATCTCCGCCTCCTGGGTTCAAGTGATTCTCCTGCCTCAGCCTCCCAAGTAGCTATGATTACAGGCACACACCACCACACCCAGCTAATTTTTTGTATTTTTAGTAAAGACAGGATTTCACCATCTTGGCCAGGCTGGTCTTGAACTCCTAACCTCATGATCCACCTGCCTCGGCCTCCCAAAATGGCAGGATTACAGGCGTGAGCCACCGCGCCTGGCCTACCCCATTCCCATTTTCTAAGTCTGCCCTTTCTCGTACATACCTTTATTTCCTTAAACATGAAGATACCCCACATTGCAGCTATAAATCCTGGACCCTTAAATAAAAATATAAACTTTAATTAAATTGGATATTTACCTATGACTAGATTCTATATAAATATAGTAAGTTAAAGACAATACAAAAATGTTTTCAGGGAAATCTACCCGTAATATCAACCCTAACTCCACACTAAGCTAAACATTAGGTGATACTAAGTAAAAAAATGAAGACTTTTTTTCATTTTCTTTTCTTCATGGTCTTCATTTTTATTATTTTGATGATACTATAATATTTTGTGCCACATAATACTTTAATATGTTTGACATAAATTATTTTTATAAGCACATAGCTTATTTTTTCCATTGGCCTAGTTCCTTAGGATACTAGAAATGGGATTAATAAGAAAAAGTGTGCACAAGCTTCTAACTTTCTTTGGCATGAGATAATCTCGTAACTGAAGAAATTTTGGCATATTATTTTTGGCCTAACAAATAATGTACATGTGGAAGTAGCTCGTGCTTTAAAAAAAATTTTAACTGATATTACTGCAGAGCAATCAAGTCTGGCTAGCATTAAACACCAACGAATGCTAAAAAAAGGTTTATGGGAAGATTAAAATAAACATGTAAGGAAAAACAACAGGAGTTTCTGGGCAGGAGACAAAGAAAAGAATGAAATAACATAGGACAGAGGAAATGAGAAGAAACAGGTAAAGAAAAGGAATGATTCTGCAATTTATATACTTTAAGCTATTCAAGTTTGGTGGTAATTCTTCTTAGCTGAGAAGGAAGAAAATTGGAATGTGGGTTAATTGTGGTCTTTGTAGAGAAGGTATATTGTATTAGCATTTTTATGATTGCTCTTCACACCCTGAGAAACTCTGGAAGAGTTTCAAACAGATTCCAAAATGTTTTTCCCCTATCACTACTCCAACTGTCTAAAGAACTGAGTCAACGAAGTTTGATTCCACTCTTGGTATGTAAGTGAAGCAAAAGAATACACTCCTCTCTGTTTATCAGTATCTGGAAAGTCAACACCAAAAAAGCCAGAGAAATAGGTCAAAGGAACTGCCTTTTATCAATGATATAAGTTCCTAAGCCTCAAAATCCAAATCAAACAAGAAGCATATGGGTCTTTTGGGCAGCCCCACACTAACTTTCAGCAGAGTAGGAGGAAACAATAGAACAGGATACCATATGAATGTTATGCTAATCACTCAATAATTTTTAATCTGAAAATCCATTTCCCTTCAGAGAACATGGTACAGGACAATACCAGGGGGTATCATTCACCTTTGAAGATTCTTGTTTGATTGTTTTCTAAATATGAGTTTAGGCATGGCCTAAGAGTTATTGTGAGTAATGTGGTTATAGGAAGGGTGCTTTGGTAAAAGTAATGCAAGCATAGGTCAAGGTATGTACTGACTCTTTGATTCAGGCCACGGAGAGCCAAATAGGAAGGATATCTTAATAGGAGATACAACAGTTGGTAATTTGGATTGTATATTTTCCTTTTGTAAATTAATGTATGTTAGGTGTAAATCAGCTTTTGAAAACAAAGTGAACTCGCTCCTATCTTGAGAATAAGCTGATTCAGTTTAGAATTTTCAAGGAAGACATGGAGCAGCTCCTGCTAGGTAACTTTTTTCTTTCTTTCTTTTTTCTTTTGACTTTTTAATGGAATGTTATTTGCTAATAAACAAAATGGATACTACTTTCAGGAAACTCAGTCTAGTTACCACTGGATATATAACTATGGGAATATGTATACCTGGGAAGAAAAACACTGCTGGGATATTAAAAATGTATTCTGATAAAATTGATTGACCATATTCATAATTGTTGAAACTAGGTGATAGTTTAGTTTGACATTTTATGTTTTAAAAAGTTTAAAAAATCTTGCCCTTCTAAAAAAATAAAATAATGAAGACTGTAAGATTGTTGAGGGGAGGGACTAAATCTTTTCTGTCTGTAGATAAGGTTGTCCTTGGATACAATGACTAAAATAAAACCAAGCAAAGGCCTGGTAGCAATAGGGACCTACTCCCTCACCAACTCCAAATACCTGTCTTTCCCAGATAACAGGCACCAAGCGCACAAGGTAAGAAAGTTACACCTGGTGAGTGAGAAGGCTCTGCTTCCATTACAGTTTTTCAAGAATAATCTCTGTGATGGGCAGGTCGCCGAAAGTCACAGAGACCACTCTCACTGATACTCTGCCCACACCCACCTACTTCAGTGGTTTATTTCCTTTGAATTAGCCTTTCATTTTGTCCTCAGTCTTTATTCTAACTCAAAACAAGAAACAATGGTAGAAAAACCAACTCTCTGTCTACTATAAAAGTTTTGTGAAGGATATTGTTTATTTGTTTTTCAATGTTGCCTTTAAGAGATCCCATATGATAAATTCTACTAAGAATGCAATGCAAAAAAGAAATAATTGGTCTGTTCTGAGGAAATAATATGCTGCTAATAATAAGAATTACTTACCCCATTGCATTATCCTTTTGAAAACACTAAGTAAAGTTTAATGTTCAGTCACAGCAACTATTTGCCGTTTACACTATTTGCTCCCTTTCTTGTCTTTACCACGGTTTTATTTTTTAATTTGTGTTTGTATTTCTATTTGCCTATGTTGCTTAATTGCATCTGTGTATTTTAGAAAAAATTGCCTCAAAAAAAAAATTGCCTCAAAACCTTCTTGGAGAACTCACATCTGCTCAATACTATAATTTGAGTAAAAGAAAAAAAATCACTATCATATGATAAAGATAAAAGTTTACATTTGATGTAAATAATGGCTTGTTCTATTTTAATAAATATTATTCCCCCTTATGTAGTGGAATTTAATATTTTCAAATAACATTTGCATCTATAGCCAAGGGACACATCATACTGTATACTTTTCTCTACAAATTTGCTTTTATGCATTTAACAGGTAAACTTTATACCCACTGCCTGTCACTTCTAACATTAAGTGTCCTTGAAATAAGGAGGAACAAATCTCTTGTTGGGAAGAATTTGGGTCCTTTGCCATTTCGATTGTGAAGAGTTTAGACCTACAGAAATTCTTCATAATTTGCTAGGTTTTCCCTCAGCAGGATTAAAAATGTTAAAATGTAGGTTCTTTAAATTTTAAAGAAAAAACCCTTTATTATTTGAATTTAGTTGCATTTGAAAGTTAACTATTTTACAGAGTAGAACTGTCAAAATATACTGTTTGATACCCAGGGTTTATATCAAATTTTATCAATGGTTTTTAGACTAGATATTATTTCTAAAAATCAGTTTTCTAGCTTTACACAGGTATGCAAACACTAAAATGTTTTAGATAAATTTTGTTAGTGATGATGATTTTGGAAGCAGGGGATGCAGTTGAATGCTGGTTAGCAATCTACAATATCTAGGGTAGACCTAAGAGCCCAACATGAAAGCAGTTCCTGTATGTATATATCAGTCCTAGTACCTTAGTGAACCTGAAACAAATTCTAAAGTAGATTCCATGCTGATGGCAGAAAGTAGCACTGTGTACTGGGAACCCTGGACTTAAACGCCTTCAGATTTTCCCTAGCTATGTGACTTCAGATATATTCTTAGCTATTGCCTCAATTTTCTCATCTTCAAAATGGGAATAATCTTATGAGTATTTATTTTGTCTATGTAAAAAAAAGTTTTTCTATTATCTATGTTTTATATCATTGGCACCTAAAAAAATGGATGAAGCAAATTGTATTAAGTATGCTGTAATAACTGGTATCATCCAGAGACAACACCTTGCTTTAGCACTTTCAGAAAGTTTTGCTTAAAAACAGTGAAGTATCAGGTGGCTGAGGCAGGAGAATGGCATGAACCCAGGAGGCAGAGCTTGCAGTGAACTGAGATCGTGCCACTGCACTCCAGCGTGGGCAAAAAAACAAAACAAAACAAAACAAAACAAAACAAACAAAAAAAAACACGCGCGCGCGCACACACACACACACAAACAAGAAAAACACAGTGAAGTACCATAGGAAGAGGTGTCTGAAGTACTTTCAATCTCACAAAATTGTCAAGACATTGATGTGGTAATAGGCATAAAATCATTTTTTATATTTATCAACTTTTATATAAGGAGAGAATAATAGTTATAAATAGCAAATTACAATGTATCTAAAATGACATTAGATAAACCATCAAACCAAAAACTGCAAGGATATTAAAGATTAAGGATTAATAGCCCTGCTAAAATGAGGTGAGAAATATTCCTTAGCAATCAGGCACATGAAGATTCAAGAGGGTCAGTTTGTCTATCCGAATCCATTAATTGCACTCCTAAAAAATCAAACTCCATGACAGTCTTTAGCGATGCCCTAACAGTGCTTCAGAAAAATTGGGATTACATTTATAAAATGAAAATTTGGAAAAACAGTTCAGCTACTTACAGCAGTGATTATTGGAAAACTGACCACAGCACTCAGAGAGTGATTTGCTATGAACCAACAGCAGGTAGCTATTGCCCAAAGTACTCCTGACAGGAATCCTGAAATACAAAGACAACACACATTTGCAGACCATGTTCCCCTCCTGAAGAACTCATACTTAAGCTACAACAGGAATATCAAAGTGCACATATAAATACATTCCGATCAATGTTGTTGGCCAATATGGAATTTTGAGCTGTGTTTTATTGTTATTTAGTACCAGGTAATTTCTCTACTCTTGCCTGCTATGGGTAGAGTGAACGATGCTTTCACATTATCGGCATTAAAGTATCCATAGTAGTAAAAGAGGTAGAGATTGGGTGGTGAAAAGGGGCCTAGGGGACATACTGAACCCGAACATTCTCTGCAAATATCATTTACTGTAAACCATAGATATTAATAAAGTGAATCAGAGTGATGCTACGGCCAAGAAAACAAAACAAAACAAAACAAACAAACAAAAACCCTATAGTATTTAAGTAAATATACCAGCTAAAACTTTCACAGTACTTTAGCTAGGCATTCGGTAAAGTAGTCTAGCATTTTCTATATGGTGGCATTCTTTAGCATAAATCTGTTAGGCATTCAGAACAAGTCTCTGACTTATGCTTTATTTTTGCCTTTAAAAGATTTTATTTGTGGACTTACATTCCAAATTGAATTATAATAAACTCCCAAATGAGATTTTTTTAAAAAAGATCAATGCCTAATGAATTAAGTCCAAAAGCATGTATGTTTAACATATGTCTTTTTTGAAGTCATCACAATCTCTTCTTACATTTTGTAGAAACTGTTTTCCCAAGTTACTGCATATTCCTATTTGTTGATATATGAACCCTCAGATAGTGAAAAAGAAATAGTAAAGAATGATGATCAATACAGAAGATGTTTGGCACAGGAAAATATCTTATTAATAGATTTGTTGTTTAAGTTTTAGGTTCTGTAATAATGGCCAACATTTCATATTCAGTTTCAAATACTTCATATTTGGTGGTGAACTGGGCAAAAGTAATTAGGGGCAATGAACACACACACACACACACACAAACACACCACATACACACACAGAGGATGGCTTTGTTTCCAGAAGAAACTTATTCAAGTTAAATGAGTTGTAGATGATACTTTCACATAGTAAGATCTGTAGTACATATTCTTACCTGGTAGGACTGCTTCAGGATATAGTTTAGGACTATTTTTCATGGCTATGCAGTAGGCCAGAAAGTAGACAGTACTTGTAAGAAAGATGCCACTGAAGTGTGCAAAAACATAGTCTAAATCTGAAAATAGAGATTAAAAACTCTCAAACACCATTTTCATCATTCCAGATATATTTAGATTTCTGAAAATAAACTCACCAAAATTAACTTTAAAGGTAAAGAAACCATTAATCAGGCTGGGCGCAGTGGCTCACACCTGTAATCCTAGGACTCTGGGAGGCTGAGGTGGGTGGATCATGAGGTCAGGAGATCAAGACCATCCTGGTTAACACAGTGAAACCTCACCTCTACTAAAAACACAAAAAATTAGCCTTGTGTGGTGGTGGGAGCCTGTAGTCCCAGCTACTCGGGAGGCTGAGGCAGGAGAATGGCGTGAACCCGGGAGGCGGAGCTTGCAGTGAGCAGAGATCATGCCACTGAACTCCAGCCTGGGTGACAGAGCAAGGCTCTGTCTCAAAAAAAAAAAAAAACCAAAAAAAACAAAAAAAAACAAAAAAACCCCAAAAACCATTAATTATATTTAATCATCCTAGTTTTCTATATGCTGTTCATATAGAATTTTAATTAATATATTTAAAATCTAGATACATTAAGTAGTAAATTTGTTACTATAATCAAAACTAAAGGCTAGTTTTTATGATCATCTGGTAAAGGTAAAGCTAAATAAGAAACAATGAATTATGTAACTATGATGTTAATACCTCCCTTTTAAAATAGGCATTCAGGCCTAATTTTACTAATGACAATAGAAATTATAGCAAATCCTCAGGTTGACCACAGTGAGGATGTGAATGAAAAAAATTGGGGGTGCTAATTTTATAGGATCCATTGATCAATCTGGAGACCAGCATCTCTGTTGCAGATGACAGCTGTACAGAAGGCTATTCAGGAAGTTAATCCAGACAGGGTTTTATTCAATTGTTGATTATAAACCTAAGTACATGGGGGAGTTAATATCACATGATGGTGGCCCAATCTCGGAAAAATTCCAACTCCACTGACTGTTTAAGCAGATGGGACTGTGGCCACACAGATGGGTGCACTACAGGTTCTTGGCTGGGAAAGCCATGTTGGACTCAATGTTTCTGTCCCCTAAAATTTTGATAAAGATGAGTGGCCATGTTTAGGAAGTAAAGCTTAACAGACAGAGAGTTTGTCTGTTGCTCTAAGTCTTAAATCCTACTTCTGGATCATGTAAGGGCAATACATCTGTATACGGACCACCACAAAGGAAAGCAAAATACAGTGATTAAAAGCATGGACCATCTGGGTACAAATCCTCATTTCAATACTCACTAACTTTGGGGCTTGGACAAATCATCTCATGTCTCTGTCTTAATTTTCTCCATTGTAAAACTAAGATAATAAGGGTATTAGTTGCTATGAGAATTAACCGAGTATTTATAAAATACTTAGGACAGACCACATACTACATATATGTTGTTAAATAAATGAAATAAAAAATAATCCCCCCTAATTTTTTTTGAATAAACTGGGATAAAGTGTCCCCATCACATTACATTCAGAGTTGTCACAAGCAAGACCCCTAAGAAGCCATTGTTCTCTTTGTGTAGAGATTGTTGAGGACATTGTTTATTATGTCCCTGTACCAAGAACATCTGTGCTCCTGAACAATTAGTTTTTTTTTTATCTTGTGCTCATTGAATCATGAGGCTGATCTGATTTCCCTTGTGCCTACAAGGACTCTAAGAGCCAAATTTACGCCTCCTTTCTAGCAAGTATGCAAATAGAGTACAAGGATTTTAGACTCATTTCTGGTTCCTTTTATACACCCACTTTTGTTTTTCTTTCTTTAGTGAGACCTTATTTTAATTTATCCTATGTTATTCTATTTTTGTTAGTTTTTATCTTTTTGTAAAAATGCAAAAAAGTATTTGTGTAAAATTTTAACAAGAGAAAGAAATCAATAAAAGGTTTGAATAATATACATGGGGCTAACTACAAAAAGGAAGACGGAAACTACGGCATCTACTCAGTCTATCTTTTCTGTTAAAGTTGAGTTCAAATCTGAACTTCTTTAATAATTATTCCCCCATGAATTTTGCCCTCCAAATTCTCCTTTATCTGAACAGAGGTCACATTAATTTTCTGTGCCATCTGATTTAGAACTTTATGAATAATCTTATTCTCTTATCATCTCATGGGTGTAAGTCATGCTGCAACATAGTCAGAGGATCCCCAAAGTAAACACTCATTCATCTCCTTTGGAACCTGTACAAGGCTATTGCATATAGTATTGAGTTTACTCCTGGAGATTAATTCTCTCAATGGAAACTCAGAGATTAACAGGAAACATTACGCTGGGCCTTCCAGTGCACGACTCTGTGCTTGAAAAATAATATCCTCTGACCATATAGGCTATACATTAACCTTTACCTGATTTTAAAGTACTATGCACTATACTTTAGCCTTTTTAAAAGCGCAGAAGTGTACATATTTTCCCAGAGATCATCTAACTGAAACAAAATTTCCAAATCTTACTGGAAAGTCAGAAGCCATGTGTTAAGATCCAAGTAGTGGAAAAGAGTCCTGACTAAAGTTGGTTGCATTTGTATGTTAAAGATCATATGAAAATACTCAATCCTTTATTATTTTTGGTCTTCAGTGCCTTTCTAATTCATCACTTACAATGACAAAGAAAGATCGACTCGACCCATCGATATTTACTATTATCACAATTCTTTTTATATTCATACAAATATATATTAATAAAGTCAGATAACTTTTTATTCTCACCATATTGGCTTGCCCCTGCATATATACTATCATTTCTTTTGCTGTGGTCCTTGATATAGATGATTGGCACAAATGTAGATCCATAGAGTACTCCAGATATCACTGCAAGACTGCAGCCCCTTACAAAACAAATAAATCACTATTAATCTTGGCCCAAAGCAATATTTCTCACAAATGCACAAATGGAATCATAAACATGCTTCAAAAGGCAAATCACAAACAGGCAAAAAGCACCCATTTATCTCTAGCTCTGTGACTGACAGAAGTCACAGAAATACCCTGCACTATTAAAGTAGCATCAGGAGTAGGAGGACAGCTTCAGTCTACCAGTGTCTAATTTTAGAAGTACATGATTTGTAGAAATTAAAATGGATTATAAATTGTTATTACGTGGATGAGAATATTGCTACAGTTATATTGTACGGTCTACATAAATAAACTTGGCACTCTAATTAAATTGAGATATCTATATACTGACACCATGCTTTATGCTTTTTTAAAAATTTTAACAGGCCATACTATCCAGCACAGAACTAGGACAGACTAAGTACTAAATGCATGTTTGTTGAAAACAGCTATTGAAATCCATGAACTTGCCTATGCCTTAGTTGACAATGCCATGGTCAAGAGGAAGTGCTGATTTAATTAAATAATCTGGGTATTTCAGACAAAACATTCCTTTTTATAAAAAGAAAATGTTTCATTTTCAGCACTGGAGTCAGAATTGGGCCGTATCTGCATGAAGCAAGCATTTCCAATGATTGTAGGGGGAGGTGATTCATATTTTGGAACAGTTCCTTGAAGTTAACACAAAGGACGATGACAGAAGACAGAAAACAGGCCAGGCGTGGTGGCTTTCGCCTGTAAACCCAGCACTTTGCCACTGCACTCCAGCCCAGGCGACAGAGTGAGACCTTGTCTCTAAGAAAAAAAAAAAAAAAAATCACACAAAAAAACCCTCCAAACAGAAAACAGTTGTAGGCAAAAACAATTCCCTCCAAAGCTTAAAAACTAACTTAGTCAATTTAAATAGTACTATAAGTAATATGAGCCTGTACAAACTCACAAGACCACCTTGGCAACATGTTCTACTCATAGTGGAAATCCTTATGTCACGTGAGGTCTGGACTTCATAGCCATGGAGCATCCCAAACACAGAGAAGACTTTAGGCCTAGCTAATTACAAGACAACTAACAATATTTTTCTTAACAAATATCTTAATGAAGGGGAGGCTTTGTGAAAAAAAATTTGAGAAAATTTTTTGTTTGAAAGATTGGTTTTATTCTGATGCAAAACCAGCAACGTATTTATTTCTTCCAAAGGTGGTTACTCTTTCATTCATTCAAATTATTCAAATATGTATTATCTACTATGTGTTAGGTGCTGCTCTTTCCCCCTGTAAAGATAGTATATACACTATCAAAAAGAAGGTTTTCTATTCTTGAGTCAAAAGGTGCCACCACATGAAGTTTAAAGCAGCCATCAAATGTAAAATGCAAGCTATAGACTAGTGTGTATTTTCATATTTATTTGGAAGTCCAAAAACCAAAACAGAACAAAGACAAAAAAACAAACAAACAAACGAAAAAACACTATGAAGTAGAGGGGCTGATGTTGAGCCCAACTCTCTGAGTCCTTATGGAGATGGGGGAGTAGGACCCACACGGACACAGAATATTCCACTATATTTGACAATGAATGTCTGGAATTATGTAACTGTCTAAATACAGGAGTGTGGGGATTCCCAGAGCAGGGTGGACATCCCGAGTGGTGCAGTGCTAGACAAGTTTATTGCCTAATCTGATTGTGACTGCTGAGAGCAGGTTGGTCACAATACTACCTCTTTTACTTTAGCTACACAAGTCACCCAAAATTAGGTTGCTTTTATTATCTACTTATCATTTGGAGAGAAATGCAATGATTTAGTAATTACTCAAAGCAGTTGAGCTCAAGGGCATCTGTACCTAAAATTCAGCAGGGGACAAACAAAACCCGCCGCATGGAGATAGAAGTCAAAGCTTGCATTACTGTTTTCTTCTTGAACTGAGATGAACATTACTTCATGCTGGTAATCACTGCTTTAACCAAATATGAAGCAGAATAATAGAGCAAAGAAGTAACTTCTCCTTACACTATGCGGTGGTGTACTGTAGAAAGTTTATCCACCCAGGAACAGGGGTCTTGAGTTTTGTTGATCACCTATAGAAAACATTGACCCAAATTAAAACAAAAAGAGCATTCAATTGATAATCACACTGGTGATAATATTTCTAGTGTTTTTCTCTTCTCTTTCAAACATGCTTTAAAATATAATAAACATGTCACCTATGTATTCTGATATCTCTAAACTCAACTATTTATAATTCTTTCCTCTTTCATTTAGGATGACTTGGCAGTTGGCAAGTCCTCCATTTCAAATTCTCACATTTAATATGTGACTGTTGTGATACACCTATAAAAACTAATAAAACTTATTCACTCATGTTTCATTTGCATATTTTAATGGTCTGTATAATCTGTAAGGAAATTAGACTGTCCTCCTATGGAACGCTTAAGATCAATGAGCATTTCTTACACTGATTTTTTTTTACCTAATTAGTTAATAAAATATTCCAAGCCATGTTTCAATATGAGGCTGATATTCTAAGTCAGGAAAAATTATGAGCAAATTCATATTTCTACTATGGAATTACAGTATCCCTCCCTTATCTGTAGTTTCGCTTTCTGTGGTTTCAGTTACCTACTGTCAACAGTAGTCCAAAGATATTAAATGAAAAATTCTGGAAATGAATATTTCATAAGTTTTCAATTGCACACTGTTCTGAATAGTGTGATGAAACCCTGCATCGTCCCTCTCCATCTCACCTGGAATGTGAAGGATTCCTATGTCCAGCCTATCCATACTGTATACACTGCCTGCCCCCCAGTCACTTAGTAGCTGTCTTAGTGATCAGATACAAAGAAATAGTATGTATAGGGTTTGGTATTATCTGTGGTTTCAGGCATTCCTTGGGTGTCTTGGAACATATCCCCTGTGGATAAGGGGAGTATATTATAATACTGCCTCTTAGCTTAACTGTTCTTTTTTTCTTTTCTTTTTTTTTTTTTGAGATGGAGTTTCACTCCTGTTGCCCAGGCTGGAGTGCGGTGGTGTGATCTTGACTCACTGCAACCTCCTTCTTTCAGGTTCAGGTGATTCTCCTGCCTCAGCCTCTCAAATAGCTGGGATTACAGGTGCATGCCACCATACCCAGCTCATTGTTTTTTGTTTTTGTTTTTGTTTTTTGTTTTTTGTTTTTTTTTGTATTTTTAGTAGAGATAGAGTTTCACCATGTTGGACAGGCTGGTCTTGAACTCCTGACCTCAGGTGATCTGCCCACCTTGGCCTCCCACAGTGCTGGGATTATGGGCATGAGCCACCATGCCTGGCCAGCTGAAGTATTCTTGATAATATACTCTTACTGTTTTTGTAAGAGACAAAAAGTAGGTTTGAATTCTTTGTTATGTGCTAAGTCAAGTTTTCCTTTGGCAATAACGGTTTCTTTCACCGTAAGGAGCTCATGATACGTGTTTGCGTACCCATCAATCATGCTGTTTATGGATCTTTAAACTTTATTGCCTAGAAAAATCTCAGGCAGTTAACCTACTGTGTATCTTTTACCAAAATGCATTTGTTTTATTATTTTCTTCCATTGTTTTGGAGGATGGTTGGGCAGGAGGTGTCTGGATCCCTGAAGCAGGCAAGGAACCGTTTCCCAAAGTCAAATCCTCCCTTCTCCCTGAAACATTTCCCTGATTAGAGATGGCTGTGGATTAATAAGCCTCTTCTCTTTACACTTAAGCTAATTACTATTCAACTTTAGCATCAATTTAACTAAGACTTTAGCTGATAAAAGTTTTGATAGGGGAAGAAGGAAAGGAGGAAAGATAATTTTGAAGATAAGCACCCTGCGAAGGGGCAATACCCCACTGCAGGTGAGGAGCGCTGGATTCAGAGGGCAGCTGGATAGCAATGGCCCAGGGCAGACAGGAGAGATTTCTTGAGATGAGAAGGATTAGGGCCTGGGTTCATGGCAATGGGGCTTTGCCCTGAAGTCACTTTTGTATATGCAGCTGCTGACACTTGTGCTTTATCAGGTCCCTTTAAAAAGTTGCTCCTATTTCACTCAGATTTACTATTCCAGACTAATTTAGATTCTTCAAGGTCAAAACGGTGACTCCTATCATATTTTCTGTTTTTCACTTTGGGTGGAATGGGATACCAATTCCTACTCTCATACGACTTCACTTACCTTTCATTGGCTTCCTATGGTCTATTCTACCCTGGACCAACTTCAAAACCTCCTTCCTCCTCCTTTCAAAAGTTACTTTCACATTCCTCTGCAGTATTTAGGGTTCCTCTATTGTAGGAATCTTTAAATTATTACAAAACATGGGGATATATATATATATATCACCTAGTAGAGATCTGTTAATCAAAATAAATAAACCTGTGTGCTAGCTGAGACGCTCAACTGTGGAAATACTGATTGATTGCTACATAGACGTAGCCACAATAAATAAGCTAAGATATTTTACATAGCCAGGAGTGATGAGCAAATACCACTTTTTCATCTGTGTTTAAAATTTATGTATTTTCCATTTATCTTAATTTTATGTTTCAAATCAAGTTGTCTCTCATACTATACTCACAGGCTCTGTTATTAATGGAGTGGTATCCATGGAACACGTGTTATTTGGTATTTCACTTTTGATGAACAAAAATATGAAAGCACTGCAAGGAAAATAAAGTTTAGTGATATTTGTCATAATACTGGTTTATATCAAGCTGCTTGATTTTTAAGAAAAAAGCACACATCTTAAATAATCGGATCCTAATGATACAATGATTACTTTCAAATTGCCCCTTCAGTGGTCCTGCCGTTTTGCCAGAACGCCTATTCTCTCAGATGTTTCTCATTTTCCTTAATTACAACAGGCTAAAGGCTAAACTCATAAGCTTTCCTTCCACATCAGATCTTTCCCTTAACTTTGAAATCACATTGTAAAAGAAATGCAAATGAAAACTACATTGAAATAATATTTATTAGCTATTATATTGACCAACTTCAAAAGTTGAACATCCTCAGTTGGACAAACGCTAGGGGACAGATACTCTTAGATACTGCTGCTAGAAGTGCAGAACTGTATGACTCCCACAGAGGAGAATCTGGGGTGATCTACTGAGGCCACCAGTGTGTCCACTCTTGACCTTACCAATCCTGCCCCAGGACCACTCACACAGGTACACGCAAACTCAGGTGAGGTGGCCTACATGGTCATACAATGGAATACTATGCAGCTATAAAAATGGAATGATGATGATATCTATGCTCTGATATGGAAAGATCTCCAGGATATAGTTTAAGAGATAAAAACATACATTTAAGTCTAGTGACATTTTTCCCTTTAACATCTCTCTCATAATATGCTATTGATGTCCTGTATCTTTGAAACAAATGCCTCACTTACTCTTGGCTTTTAAGCCTTGCAAATTTGTTAAAATGTGTCAAAAGATTAAATTAACTTAAGAAGATAAACAACGTTGGGATACTTTTAACATCTCTTTTGAAATACTTTTAAAATACATTTGCATGGTTCAACATTTCAAACAAAATAAGCTTTCAAAGCATATATGACACTGAAATAGGGTAGGTAGCTAGGTACAGAAGAGTGTCTATCATGTGCTATCTTTTGTGTAAAAATTAAAATGTTCTAGTTAGGTTTCTTTGTTCAATCTCCTACTTGCTTTAAAACATGAATAGTTTCCTATTCCTTTCCATATGAGATTTAACTTTCCTTTTTGATTTTTATGGCTCTCTGCATTATGTTCCACCCAACGTATCTCAACATAAATCCTCGTATGGGCTTCTATGCCTGACCACTGCCTGCTCCAAGCTCTCTACCAACCCCCTCCCCAATTTTTCACAATGACTTGCACCTGCTTCTCTTTCTTCCCTAGCTGGACACCCTACATACTCTGTGTCCTATCCAAACTAAACAAGAGTTGAAGTGTTGAATGTGTTTTAAAAAAAAAAACCTTTCCCTTGGGCCAGTCCTCACTGAATCTTCCTTTTTGAATCCCCACAACACGAAGAATAGTTACCACACAATCTAGACCATTTGCCACAATGTAATCTTTTTTCTCTAAAGATTTTCTAATTCAATAGAAGCCAGTGTTGGGGTCCAAAAATGATACCCCAAATTACGGCACTTTGGCATGCTGAGTGCTTTGAACTATAGGAGATTGGAAGGCCTTAGAAGCAACCTCAGAAGGCAAGTCTCTCTCTGACTTCCTCACGCCTTGATGGCTTCCACTCACCTTTCTCCCACAAAGCAGACCACAGAAATTAGAATTCCTCTTCTCCAAGATGAGTCATGGACACTAGAATCCCTCTTTCTCAAAGCCAGCCATGAAACCTAGATCAGTTACTCTAACAACTCCCAACCTTCCACTTTCTGTGTAGGAGCTGGCTATACAGAAATTCTCTGACCTACCTTGTCTAGATCATAAGACCCTCATTCCAGAGGGGTCCTGCTGCCTATCAAGGAGGAAGAAATACTACACAGAGACCAAGAAGAATCTGAACAGGCAGGTTTCGCTGTGTTTCTCCCCTCAGTCTATTACCATTAGATCACACCCTTTGTGTAATTACATTTCTACATGGCTGTCAAATCTTCAAATCTAAGCAGAAAAACAGATGTTTTTTTCCCTGCGTCTTTGGGTCTTCAGGTTCCCATGTCATGCAGAACTTTGATTAAATTTTGTTATGTTTTTGTCTCATCAACCTGTCTTTTGTTACAGGAGTGTCAGCCATGACCTTTGTGATAGGGAAGAAAGGTATCACGCCTTTCCAGCCCTACAGTGGAAACCACATATCTCCTTCAGGGTCCTCAAGATATTTAACACATAGTAAAATTGAATGCATAAAGCCTAATTATATCAGTATATTTAAATGAGTTATACATGTGTGTGTTTTATACGTATTCTATATATATATATTTGCACACATATATTTGTGTAAATATGTGTGTATTTCTGTGCATGCATATTTTATATATATATATTTGTAAGGTTAATATTAGACATTAATTGGCATTTTGTTCTCAAAATTATACAATGAAAATCCTCTACTCTGTATAGACCTGTGCATTTTTCTAATAAACAATACAGAATGATATGTTAGAAAATACTTGAAAGCCACAGATAGGGTGGGTAGGACCAAGATGGCCAACTAGCAACAGCAGCAATCAGAGGGTCACATCAAAAAGAATGATAATCAGTGTGTGAATCCTTCACTGGCAACCAAGGTATCCAGATTCTCTCATCAGAACTGACTAGGTGGCTGATGTAATAACGGTCAGGAAGGAAAAGCAGTGTGGTCTAGTGGCCCACCTGAGAGCCACACAGGGCTGCAGGGCCCCCACCCCCCAGCCAAGGAATTGGTGAGTGAGCATGCTACCCAGCTGGGGAAACCATGCTTTTCCATGGAACTGTGCAACCCACAGATTGGAAGATCCCACTTGCAAACCTACGCCACTGGGGCCTAGGGTCCCAACACTGGAGCCATGCGGATTCTCAACAGCCTCTCTGCTAGAATCTGCCTAAGCCTGCTGAGCTCCCGAAGGGAGGGGTGACCAGCACCACAGCTGCAGCTGCCTGCTGCCTAAACCAACTGAGCTCCTTGGGGAAGGGGCAACAGCCAGCACTGGGACTCATTACTGTCTAACACGCTAAGCTCCCTGGGTGGGGGAAGGGTAGCATCCAGCTCTATAGCTCCAGGCCATGCTTTTTCACTGCTGGAGCCAGGGAGGCTGGAGAGCTTGGTCCCCAAGAAGTGTTCCCCAAAGCCCAGCACACTGGCTGTGGCAGACTGTGGCCAGAGCACCTGTTCAGGCCTCACCCTGACCCATCCTTTCTCACTGGACGGGGCCTCCCTGCAGGAACTCCAACAACTCTAGCCCGAGGCTCAGGGACAGAACCCGAGCCTCCCTGGGCCTCCCTTAGGGAGAGGGTTGGCCACAGTCTCTGCAGACCAGCAGAGTTAGCCTTCCCTCCAGTAGTTCTGAGGAATCTGGATAGACCAGATGAGTGGGTTTCCCCCCCAGAGAAGCTCACCCCCTCCAAAAAGGACAGTTAAAGCGCTTCCGTAAATGGATCCTGTTCCCCATGCCACCCAACTGGGTGAAATCCTCTGACAGGGGTTGTCAGACACCCTATATAGGAATGATCCTACTGGCATCGGGTTGGTGCCCCTCGGGGTCAGAGATCCCAGATGAAGGAGAAGGCACCCATCTTTGCTGTTCTTCAGCCTCCGTGAGTGACACCTCTAAGCGCAGGAGCGAACCAGATGAACGGGGCGTGAAGTGAACCCCCAGCAAACCACAGCAGCCCTACAGATGAGTGACCTTGAGAGAAGAGAGACAGACCTGCTTATATTGTTTTATATTGATTTATACTCAGAAGAGGAAAGAGGAGCAAAGCTAAAGGCAGTAGCCCGGCGCCTAGGAACCAGACCCAAAACCAAGAAATCAGACCTGAAACCAGGCCTGGACCTGCCTGACCTAAGCCTGGCAGTTAAAGATCGACCCCTGGCCTAACTGGTTATGTTATCTATAGATTCCAGACATTGTATGGAAAGGCATTGTAAAAATCCCTGTCCTGTTCTGTTTCGTTCTGATTACTGGTGCCTGCAGCCCCCAGTCACACACTCCCTGCTTGCCCAATCAATCACGACCCTCTCACGCGGACCCCCTTAGAGTCATGAGCCCGTCAAAGGGACACGAATTGCTCACTTGGGGAGCTCAGCTCTTAAGACAGGAGTCTTGCCTGATGCCCCCGGCTGAATAAACCACTTCCTTCTTTAACTTGGTGTCTGAGGAGTTTTGTCTGCGGCTCCTCCTGCTACATTTCTTGGTTCCCTGACCGGGAAGCGAGGTGATTGGCAGAAGGTCGAGGCAGCTCCTTAGGCGGCCTAAGCCTGCCCTGTGGAACATCCCTGCTGGGGACTCTGACCAGCCCAAGCGAGGCGGATCCTGAGAGCACTCCCGAGTAGGCATTTGCCCGGGTGGTACACCTCACCAGAGCAGTGTGTGGCAGGCCTCCATGGAGGATCAACGCAGTGGCTGAACACCGGGAAGGAACTGGTACTTGGGGTCTGGACATCTAAAACTTGGTAAGACTGGTCTTTGGAACTTGCCTACTCCGTTTGAGTGGAAGCTTGGCCTGATCACCCATGGTATGCCTTTATCGGTACTTTGGTTTAGTTTTGGTTTTGGTTTTGACTTGGTTTGAATTGCTTGATAGGACTGGTCTTGGGAACTTGCCCACTCCATTTGAGTGGAAGCATGGCCTGATCACCCACGGAGTGCCTTTATCAGCACTTTGGTATTGGTTTTGACTTGGTTTGAATTGCTTGACAGGACTGGTCTTGGGAACTTGCCTACTCCATTTGAGTGCAAGCGTGGCCTGATCACCCATGGTGTGCCTGTACTGGCACTTTGGTTTTTGTTTTTGACTTGACTTGGATTGCTTGATACTTTGTTTTGGTTTTGATCTCACTTGGATTTCTGGATACTCTGGTTTTGGTTTTGATTTTGGTTTGGTGTAAACTTCAAAAGTGTGTGTGTGTCCTCTTTACCCGTTCTTTGTTTTGTGGTGTGCGTGTGGTGTGAGCGTGATGTTTTGTCTCGAAGAAGCATGGGTCAGGCACAAATAAGCCCACCCTACTAGGA